GAAAGAGGCCCAAGTAGAAAATTATTCCACATTCAAATCTCCCCAAAAGTCACACTTACCTTTGCATACTTCGCATCTGGGTGAAGACTCTCGGTTACAGCTTTAAACCATTCTTCTTCCCGTGGCGTGTCATTGAAAAAGAAGGCTTCTTTACTCAGATCAAGTTCCTGGAAACTGTGTTAAAGGAAGGAACCCATGGATGCATGCACTTGTTTATAACTCTCAGCCCTTTCCTCTAGAAAAAAACTAGATCCATTTATACTCACTAAATTTATAACTGAAAACTCCAATTCAGTTATGCTGATGTTAAGTGTAAAGCTAAATTACAGTCAGTACTAAACTGAATGGCTTTAAAGATTTTGTAACACTGCATTGCCAGAGAGTCCAAACCCCACCAGAGGAACAGCCCTGCCAGGCTCTGGAGATGTGCCACAGAGGACAGCAGTGCAAACATTCCTCAGCTGCAGCATCCTGGCTGGACACCCCTACACAGTAGAGCCACCAGCCACCCACAGCCAGGCTGGGACACTCACCCCACGCAGTAAACATCTGGAGGTTCAGCCTCACATCTCAGCCATGGCTGGAGGCTTTCTCTGGGGGACTGGCCGTTCACGTTGTATGTCCCAACAAAAAACCTGCAAAGAAATTCACTAAATCCCAGAGCTGCAAATTGTGGAGTTGATAGGAATACCACTATTATTAATCCATGTACTTCACACTACATCTAACTGTTTAGGAGTAACTGTTTCCAGGGGGGAATTAGAAAAATGTGGCAAAGTTTAAATCCCTAAAATTATTCAGTTACAGCAGCATCTTTACAGACATGTTTTACATAAAGATTCATATTTTTACTTATAGTAGATACAAAATACCAAAAAAAACCAAAAACTAGAGCTGTGATTAGCAATTTGAAATTCATAGAATAACACACACAAAAGGATTTAAAGCACAGTAAAGTCTTGGTCCTAGTTAAGTATTTCACCCAAGCTCTTAGGAGCTTATTGGAACAACTGCATTTATAAGCAGTGAACAGAAGCAGTGAGAGAGAGGCATGAATTAAATTATTCTCTGCTAATGTCCAAACAAGGAAAGAAAGCTGTTCTGAAATCACACTTTTATATTAAATTTCCTATTTGCAGGGATACCAGATGAAATAATGGACATGAGTTATATTTGACAGTTTATGCTAACTTACTCCCTGCAAAAAGAAGTTCTTCTCAGGAGTGATCATTACCTGAAGTTCTGGATGTGTGTGTATGAATCCTCCCTTTGTACAAGCTGAGATTTAATAATAGTATCTCTCAGTCCAAACATTGGCTCCGAGAAGATGGAAGCCTTGTTTGAAGCCATGGCGCTGGAGGACCACACCATCTCAGCTGCCACTTCAGATCTTAGTTTGCTTTGCCTGCAAACAAAAGCAAAACTCTATGATGAAACTCAGGATATGCACACACCCTAAGCAGTTTGTTTCTGCCACTGAAGACTTGATTCACATGTATCTGTCCGTTTCACTAAAGATAACCAACTGAAGACTGAAAGACTTCAAACAAGACTGAAATAAGCATTTCTCAGAGTGCTTCAGATCTCAAGATAAGACCAGTGTAACTAACTGAAATAACAAAGGGTTTTCACTACCCCAGCACAGCCTGTTGATTCACAGCAGTCCTTACCTGGATGTTGGTAGAAAACCTGTACATACTTCCTGCTTACCAGAGCAAGGAGATTCAAATCTCCCACTGCCTCTGTTCAGCCCTTCTGACCTCAGCAGAAGAATGAAAAACTGTTTGTTTAAAAAGCCTCTGTCTGAAAACCTCCTCACTCAGCCTAGAAAAAGGGGCAACACAGCACGGGTGGTTTTATTTAGTATCTCATGGCTCTGCAAACTGCTTTTACAACAGTAATAATGCCACAGCTTCGGAGTTCCCACGAGCAAGTAGATGGTATAAATTTAAGATCAGCAACCTGCACACCAGTGCCAAGGACAGCAGAGAGAGACATATGCAGCAGGGTCCAAAAAGTCCTGGGAACTGGAAAATGAAACTGTAGCATTTTAAGAGTGTATCTATGAGGCAGGGTGGCCCTAAGCCAAAACTCTCTGAAATCAAAATAAACAATGCTAGCAGATCCTGTCTCACTGAACTGAAAAAATATGCTCAAATAGGGGACTGGCAGGATTGTCTCCTAGAGACTGTGCTGAAATTCCCACTAAAGTTTTGACAGTGTGCTGATGCTGAACTTTGCTCTCTCCTAACTAGAATATGCAGATTGTCTTCTCAAGAAGTCGTCAACTTCTGCTCTATTTTCCATCATGTCTGGGGACTGCAACTGACACAGCCACCAGCAGATGGAATGAGATAACACAGCCACAGGGTTGCTCCAGCACTGGTGGTGCACAGACCTCAGAGAGTACCAAAGATTAACTTCCCCACTCTGTTTACAGACAAAAACAAGGAAGCCCTTTTTCTTCCTCTAGACAGCAAAGCATCAACAATCTGCACACCTCAGTTCATTCCATCCATACACATTCACCCAGAAGTACCCAGAACTTTAGTATTATGTATATTTACTGTCAATAATCACAGATCCTCTGCGGGGAGGCACAGCTAAACCAGCAAGGAAACATTGCCACCACCTCTCCTCCTCACTAGACCTTCCACAAAGAGCCCATGTGCACAACTCTCCTCTCAACTACTTCACTATACCCAGACAAGAAGTGAGCGATACACCCTACCTATGAGCACTCCTCTGGCTGCAGTCATGGCTCTGGCTCTGACCAACACCCAGCTTCTTTCCGTTCTGCTTGATACCTTCAGAGCCAACCACTTCTGGAAAAAAAACAAAGTTTCATAATAAACACAAAGTGTTCTTTAATTCCTCAACACACTTATGCAAACACTGGCATAAATCTGTGAGCAGAATATAATTTAGATTTGTGTAGAGAAGTGCCCTGCAGTCTCTCTTTCAGTTATCCAATAAATGTAGGTTCTTTTGACAGAACCATTCTGTGATGATGCAGCTTCCCCTTTAGAGATGTGTGACCACAGAGAGCAATAGAATGCTGGGTGCTGCCTGCGGGTTCCTGGCTCATCTTTCAGCTAAGCCAAACCAGACTAAGCAGCACAAAATCCAGGGCTTTATCCTGGGAATACAAAAATTGTATCCTAATAACACATTTTTCCTTTCTGAAGCAAGACAGAAGGTACAAATAAAAAAAAAAAAAAAATAAAAAAAAAAAAAACAAAACCACAGCCTAAACCCCACACGCACTATTAAAAAGTTTTCTATCTATCTGCAAACACAAAGCAGAACTGTCTTCCCTCTCAAGAGTAGAGTCACCACATGAATCCCCAGTGCCTCAGCAGAAACAAATGCCTTGATGCAAACTTCACATTACTAAAAAATAACACAGCAGCTGCCATGCAAACGTAACTAAATACTAGTGTGACACTACACACTTCGTATGACATTAACAAAATTTGCCCAGTCTTTCATGATTTTGTATCAGTTACAACACCCTACTCCTCAGCTGCCAAAATAATGGTTAAAAAAAAAGAGGATTCTGAATGGAGGTCTCTGTGTTTAAGATGTACAAAAACAGCAATCTCAAGACTGTGCTACTTAGTACATAAATCTAACAATGATACAGAAATTGTTGTTAAGATTATAAGGTTCTAGTCGTTCAGCTGAGCTTCTCCTTCAGTGAGCACAATCCAGAAACACTGAAGTGTTACTGCTGTCATAGTACATTCTCCAGGACAAGAGCACAAACCAGAAACAGAACTTGAAGCACTTCACCCAAGCACCGGGAACATAAACAAGGTGACCAGAAACGGCCTTACTCTCGGCTTGGAAAACCTCTTCTGCCCAAGAGCCCTCCGAGAATAAACACTTTAAGAGGATTTGTCAGAGGTTGGCTGCAGCAGCACACGTGCCTCGGCCCTCGCTGCGGACCACACAGCTGAGGTCAGGCAGGGTGGACAGGGAGCACACAGGGCTCGGACGCTGCAACGCACGGCTCCACCGAGCTGGGCAGAGCCCTCAGTTCCTTGCATGGGCATTAAGCACGTAATTATCGGAGCTGCCGGAGCCTCTGCACGTTCTCCTGATAACAACCATGCAATCTTAAAAGTGACAAGAATCAACTTCACCTTTCACTTTAACAGACAAATGCTTTCTATTGAGAAGGGAGCAGAGGCTCAGACTTTATCACCTGCACAGGACAATGACACTGGCCAGCATGCAGAAGGTATCACTGCCAGAATGGCAAGACCTTTGTGCCTACATGGTGCTGCTGACCTGGCTGCTGTAGGATGCAAAGATCACAGTCATTCACACTTTTGCTTTCTAACCTCACTAGTGGAAATCAGTTTTAGGCAGGGCTCTCCTAAGAAAGAGATTACCCCTGGAAAATTACCATTTCCATCAGACAGATTTATACTTTGATACTGCTCCAGTCGGAGGGATCTTGAAGTTAGCAATCTGAAGTGGAATATTTTAGCAAGATGGTGACCTTATTCAATAATTGAACTGGGCACAGAAATGCAGAGCTGTCTGGACAGATTACAGACCAGCATAGCCTGAATTATCATAGAATCATAGAATCATAGAATCTTAGGGGCTGGAAGGGACCTTGAGAGATCATCTAGTCCAACCCCCCTGCCAGAGCAGGGTCACCTAGAGTACATCACACAGGAACTCATCCAGGTGGGTTTTGAATGTCTCCAGTGAGGGAGACTCCACACCCTCCCTGGGCAGCCTGTTCCAGTGCTCTGTCACTCTCACAGTAAAAAAATTTTTTCGGATATTCACCTTGAACTTCCTATGCTCCAATTTACACCCATTACCCCTTGTCCTATCACTGGTCATCACCGAGAAAAGCCTAACTCCATCTCCCTGACACTCACCCCTTACATATTTGTAAACATTGATGAGGTCACCCCTCAGTCTCCTTTTCTCCAAGCTAAAGAGACCCAGCTCCCTCAGCCTTTCCTCATAAGGGAGATGTTCCACTCCCAGGATTTACACTTAAAAGAGGTTTAAGCAATTATAAAGACATTGTTGTTAGAAATGTCCAGTGATGTTGTAGTACTGTTCTACGCTAGGAAAAAATGCATTGTATCTTCTGGAGAACTTAAGACCCATGTTTAGTACTCAAAAGGGAGAATTAAATTAGCTTTGCCATTAGTTACATC